TTCAGAAAAACAGCTGAACTTGTTGCAGGGAAGATACATTGCTATTGGATGTGGATTCTTGATTTTGGGTCTACGGATTGTGCTTTCTTTTTCATTTTTTTTTTCTGCAGCGTGTTGAAGTTATGGAATGAAATAAGATTATAAATTTGTATCACTATTCCATAATCACTACTTGTGACTTTCAAGATCTGGATGGATTGGGTATTGTACAATACAGTTTTTAATAAATTTGCTCATTATTCTCATCTGCAGTGTGTTCAGTGCTAAATTTTTATCGATTTGTTTCGAACATATCTTCCCAAGAAACCATAAGCTATCTGAACCTGCATAATTTTTTTTTTTGGGCCAAAGAAGGTCCCTAACTCACCTGATTAACTTGACGTTAGACTTAGGTGGTCAAATTTTAATGCCACACTTTCTTTTTAGCCATTGTTCATATGGGCTGGCAACTATCATTCAAAATGGTTAGATTTAGCGTTTCTCTTTCACTTGTTTATGGTGTCATGAGATTGGATAAGGAACACCAAACCTTTGTTGTCTGAGACCCAGATCTGATACAGGACACTGATTCCCTGGCCCAGTTCCTCGGCACATGCATGACATCCCCTGAGTCATACAGATGAATCTTTGACCTGGATACTGATCAATCCTGCCTAGGCTGCATCCCGACATCTATCTTTTCTTGGAAACACCTGAAAAACTTATTAGATTTTACCCCTGCATTAAGTAATCTGGTCACTTTACTGGGACAAGGCAAATCCAGGTGCCACACTTCTATTAACTCCGTGAATCCAGATGCTTTTATACAAACGAGATGGCTTCAGAAAGTACATTCCACAGCATGTGAGTGGGGATATTGGCAGTGTCTTTGACAAAGAAGCCTTCGCTATCTTGGTAAAAGCATGTATAAAGCAACAAATCTCTTTTCGTTGTGTGTTGGGAAACGGTGCTCTCATGTGTTTTCACGTGCATTTTGGCTCCCTCTTCATCGGCTTATCGGTAATCTTTAAAGAACTTCTATAATTTCTGGAAAAAAGTGTTTTACCTCACTGCTTTTCATTGATCTTTTAATCTATCACAGCCTTTTTTTGGAATATCTTAGATATAAAACTGTGTACAGATAAGTACTTGGATTTTAGAGTTTGAGTGAACGGGTCAAAATAAGTACTCTATTTTTTTTCTTTTTTCTTTTTTAAATGAGAAATAGAGATGCTTTATTAAGTGAAAAGAGAATACATTCGGTCTCTATATAAAGGCACCTAAAATCAAGTTAAAGCTATAATTTATAATACTAAATATAGATGAAAACCATTTTCATGACAAATAAGAAAGAAAAGTTTAGTATATATTTGAAACTTATAGACTTTCTCAATTGTTACATCAAACTTTAAGGAGAACAAGTAATTTGACAAACAATAATTCTTATTCACTAAATGTCAAACAAGAATATGCACTATCTTAAGAGAGAGTTGGAATCTCCTTTAGGAATCACCCAAGTCATGCTCAAATTAATGCAGAGAAGAGTCATCAACATGTTGCTATCCTCTTCATAAAACTATTGAGAGAGTGTAAGTAAAAGCCCACAAAACAAGAGAAACTCCCACAAAAAAGAAAAAATCCTCAAAGAGGAAGAAACTCCTATTTTTATTCATCCTGACCATCAAAAGTGAGACAGGTGTAAGGTAGCGGGTAGGAAAAAAAAAGAAAAATGGGGACGACTATAGGGAAAAGGAGAGAGAAGTGTTAGACTCTATTTTTTTATTGGTTAAATATTAATTTTAGTTTTAAAACTTTTAATTTTAAACATTTTAGTCCCTCAACTATTTTTTACACTTTTTTAGTCCTAGACCACTATGAAAGGTTTTTTTTCTAAGAGCACATATTAATGGTGTAATTATTTCATCTTTTTTATATTAATTAGTATTAAAAATAAAAGCTGATTTTTATTTAAGTAATTGTTTAATTAAAATGATTTGCTTGACACTAATAATGAAATTAACAATAGATTTTGTAATTTTCAATTTTAATTAATGTGAAAAAGATGTAGTAATTACATCTTTAACCTATGTTCCAAAGGGCACAAGTTAAAACAACTCAATTATCAAATTTACAATTTTTTAAAATTTTTTCATCAATTAATCTATTAAATCTATCTAAACATACACATTTTTAGTCAATATAATTTAATATATGCATATTTTTAGTTCTTAAATTTACTAAAAATATGCTTATTTTATTTGGACAGATTTAGTAGATTAACTGATAACTAAAAAATATATATTTCATAATTCAAGAACAAAAAAAATGCAAAAAATAATTGTGGGACTAAAAATGTTTAAAATTTAAAAATTTTAAAACTAAAATTGATATTTAACATTTTTTTATTCTAACTCAAGTATATTTAGAAAGGGGAGGGCAGAGAAATTTTTATCCAATAAAATTAAAACATTGGACCAACATCTTAATTTGATTGTATCAAAATCCTTTCCATCTCCTTTACCTTCTCTTCATTTCTCAATTCAGTTTATATTGCACATTTGCACTACCAAGAAAAAGGAGAAAAAAAATCTAGTAAATTAATTGGATTTATTCATGAGCAACATTCATCACATTTTTGTCATTGTCTTGAATTAGTCTATCATGCTTTATAATTTAATCTTTTACAGTGTGGTCTTTGGTCTCTTACAAAACCGACATCTAATGCTTCAGATGCAAAGGTGATATATTTTCAGCCAGAGCTTTTTGAGAATGGTGCTTGTCAACTAAGGACTTTTACAGTCATCCTAACCTATGCATTGTGGATACGTAGCCTTCATGATGCCTCTGCTTTTTCTTGCATTCACGTCTCTTCAACATTTGCATCTCATCCTTTGTTGCCCAATCTTTTCTTTCAAAACCTTGATCATTTTCAACCACACTGCTAGCACTTATCATTTACTTCTGAACACGTTTTCCCTATGCATTGTTGGATTCATTCTACTGATTCAATCATTATAGGTGACTTATCTCTTTCTTTTCCCTTGCAGATGTTATCGGGGTCATCATCAAAGGGAGCAACAAAACTTAATAGCTCTATTCCTGCTGGAATAGCGGGTACAGTCCCTCCTTCATGTTGGTTACCGAGTCGTAGTTGTATCAATCACAGTTCACACATGTCCTGTCCGCCCAAATATATTCATATAGTCCAATGAAACTTTAATCTTGTCATCATATCATGATTTCTGCAAGAAGAAGTGGTCTAATCTATATATATCTTAAGAGTGTAAATTCAAATTTATTAATTAAAATATTTTTAATTAATTTTATATAAATTTTTATATTTAATTTATATATTTTTATAAATCACAGTTCACACATGTCCTGTCCGCCCAAATATATTCATATAGTCCAATGAAACTTTAATCTTGTCATCATATCATGATTTCTGCAAGAAGA